TCTTTTTAACTAAAACCTTATCTCCTTCACACATCTCTCTCGCTTTCGCACCTCTTTTCTCATCAATGTATAATTTGTTTTTTAATTTTGATACAGCGTCGCGATCTGAAACATCTTCATCATGTACAATATTATCCTCCAATTCTGGTAATTTTGTTCGCAATTTTCTATTCCACATCATTTCCGCTGGGGTCTGTCCAGTAACACTGTGTGGGGTTGTACGGTATGCAAATAAATACACACGTAATTCTTTCTTCCAGTCTTTTCCTTCAGCTTGCGCAATGCGTTTCATTATAGATCTGTTCTGTCGCTCCACCTCTCCATTTGCAGCAGGATGTAATGGTGTGACGCGTCTATGTTTGATTCCACTCTCTTTCAGATAGGTCTCAAACTCATCAGAAACAAACTGCGCACCATTATCTGAGGTAATTGATTGTGGTAAGGCATGTTGAAGAAATATTTTCTCTAGGGCGTCTATGATTTTCTCGCTTGTAATCTTCTTCATTATGTTAATTTCATAATAACGGCTATAATTATCTACCACAACTAGTACATTTTAATTCGATGGAAATGGTCCCAGCAGGTCAACTGAAATGTCTTGCCATGGTCCTGTTGGTAGTTGTGTTGGTTTCAATGGTTCTGGTGCTGACGTCGAACTTGTTATCTGACACCCATGACATGTTTTAACATAGTTTTCTACATCTTTCGCCATTCCAGGCTACCAAACCTTGGTTCTGAGCCTTTGTTTGGTCTTCACTATTCCTAAATGACCTTGCTATTTCAATGCACTGCAATCTATATTTTGATGGAATAACAAGCTTTGTGTTTCGAAGAACTAAATACCCAAGGCATGCAAGTTCCTGTTGTATGGCAGTATACTGAATCAAGTCCTTATCCCATTTGTTTGTCTTTACACTATCTCTCACCTTGCTCAATTCTGGATCATCTTTGGATGCCTCTTCAACCTCACGTGATGATAGCGCACATGGCGTTGCATTTGATGCGACCAATCGAATATACATCTCTGTATCATCACTGTCATGATTTTGTTGGTCATCAGTTTCTATTGGTAGTCTCGATAAAATATCAGCAATGTTATTTTTGCCAGGTACATACTTTACTGTATAAGAATAAGACATAAGTCTCATCACCCACCTTTCAATCCGTGCATTTGGTTTGGACTTTGGTCCATACAGGCCTTCTAGTAGTTTATGGTCGGTAATTAGGTCAAAATCAAGTCCATATAAATAAACATGAAACCTCTCCATAGCCCACACCACTGCTAATGCCTCTTTTTCCGTTGTTGAATATTTCCTTTCAGCATCGGATAGGGTCCGGCTGGCATAACTCTGGTTTCACCATCATGTTTTTGAAGTAAAACACCACCACAATGCCTACATTGCTTGCGTCTGTCACCAATTGAGTACTTTCTGCATCCAACCTGAAATAGCCTAAACATGTTTCATTAGTTAAGCATTCTGTAAGTTTTACATAGCTATTTTCTTGTTCAGCTCCCTAATGAAATTTAGAATCTTTTCGCACTAATCGTCTTAAGGGTTCTGCAACTGTAGCTAAATTTGGAATGTATCGCGCAGAGAAGTTTACTAGACCTAAGAAGCTTTTTATTTCTGCAGTTGTTGTTGGTCTTTTTGATTCTGATAATGCTCTGACTCTCCCACTTGTAGGCTTAATTCCTTTTGCTGACAAAGTGTGACCCATGAATGTAATCTCTGGTACAGAAAATTGACACTTGTCCTTGTTGAGAGTCAAATTTTTCTCTTTGAATTTCTCAAGCACTACACTAAGTCTCTTATCATGTTCAGCCTGTGTTCTTCCATGTACAACAATGTCATCTAATATGTTGGCTACACCTTCACACCCACTCAACGTCTGACTAATCACTCTTTGGTACTTTTCTGGAGCAGCATTTATCCCAAACATCAATCTTTTGTAACGATAAAGACCTTTACTTGTTATGAATGCTCATCTAATTCAATTTGATGATAGCCATAATTCATATCTAATTTCGAGAACACTGTACTTTCATTCATCTCATACAGCACTTCATCAACTGTGGGGATTGGATGTCTCTCCCTCTTAACTGCTCTATTTGCCTGTCTCATATCTACGCAAAGGCGTATATCACCATTTGGCTTTGGAACTACTATGACGGGACTTACCCAATCACTCGGTTCATCTACCTTTTCGATTATGTCAAGAGATTCCAACTCGTCTAATTTGTCACTCACTTTATCTCTAAGACTAAAGGGTACTCTATACATATTCTGAACAACTGGCGTTACCTGTTCATCAATAAATAAATGTAACTTGTAATCTTTTAATTTACCAATACCTGTAAACACCTGTGTATACTTATCTTGTACACTATTTATTCCTTGTGGGATGCCGATATTTAGCACTTCAAGCTTCATTGCCGTATCATATCCCAACAAAGCAGGACCTTTCCCTTTTAGCACATATACTTCTGCTGTTATTTTGTGAGAACAATTGTTACCTGTATCTTTAAAAATCGAAACATTTGTGGTAAATTTCCCTAATAATTCTAACGGTTTTGTTGACCCATATGCATATAACTTTCTGTTTGTCAACTCAGATTTACACTTAATTTGCTTACATTTTAACTGTTGCCATAAATCTTCATCTATGATATTTGCTGTAGCACCACTATCAATAATTATTTCTGCCTTATGTACATCCATACAAACATTTACCTTTGTGGCTTTAGAATTTATATGCATAATATCATCACGTGTACCAAAAGCATAATCATCTTCACTTTCACTTTGAACATTACGAATACCACCACCACGTCTCGATACCTTTCTGTCTCTACCTACTTTAGTTTTGCAACAAACAGCAAAATGTCCAGGTAATTTACATTTAGTACATTGCTTGCCTCTCGCAGGACAACATTTATCCCTAGCAAAATGTCCTTCTTTCCCGCAGCGAAAACACTTCCATGTACCTTGATAACTATCACTGACCTTTGGCCTACTTGATCTGTTACCATTCGAATTTCCAGACTGGCTCTTGCTTCTGCTATTCATACTTGACCTTGAAAATCTCTCATTTCTCACTGCATTTACACTTGGTGTTTCCACTCCAACTCCTTCCGACATTTCCTTTGCTTGTTGTTCACTCATATCGAATGAGCTAGCTATTGTTTTTAAATTTGCTAATTTCAAAGTGTTCCCCTTTTCCAGTAATTTTATTCTCAGTTTATTCGATTTGCATTTTTCGATCACATGGTCTCTAATTAATTCATCAATCTGATCAGCATCAAAATCACATCGTGTAGCCTGCTGTCTCAATCAGTTAATAAACTGGTTAATAGTTTCATCGTCATTTTGAGTTAATTTTCTAAAACAATAACGCTCATACGGTACGTTGGTTTTCATTACAAATTGTTTATTTAATGTTTTCACAACAACATCATATTCATCTGTTCCATTCTCCTCTGTTACACAATCATATATGTCCTGTACAGCTAATCCAGCACAATGTAATAATAAAGCTTTCTTTTGCTTTTTGTTTACCACTCCTTTACCAGTAGCATATAACTCGAAACTGCGAAGCCATTTCTTCCACTGTTCAGCCGAAGCATGGACGTCATGTGGATCGTACGCAGCGACTCCAGTGATCTCAATGTTCACAGCGCTCATCGTACAGCAGTACAGTATTAAAACAAAACTATCGCAATATTATACTATTCAAACTCACAGTTGGTTCGACAGCCTCGTCGCCAATGTTGTGTGTTGCTATCGTATTCAAACAAACACAATTAAATGACAAAATAAACAATATTCCAGCTCTACAATAGCCATTCGTTGTTTATTCATCCACCAGTCCTGATTTAACAACATGTCCGAACAACACACGAGGTATGCTAGTCTTGTAGTCCAGACACTACAGGGGGGTGGGCGTGTTGTCCACAGTCGAAGTCCCGGTGGGGTTGGCAAAAACCCCAAAAGCAAAAGGACTTTAACGACGTTAAGGAGAGGATTTTTGTGCTTTATTCGTCTAAATAATGCTATAAAAGCAGATATGTTTGAAAAAGTCTGTGTCTGGGTGGGTCTGCAGTGCATTAGATGGGTTGGAGGACTTATTTATGAAATTTGAAGAGGGGGTTTGCCATTAAAGAGGGGGTTTGCTAGAAAAGGGGTGTTCTACCGAACCATAACCCCCCCCCCCCACACGATAATTATTAAGACATATCTTTGAATTGATGTAACTTTTCGAAATATTGACCGTTTTTAAAACGATTTTTTAGTCGAAAGCTAGGCGTAAACTGTATTACTGCGCATGTGTTATTACTACATGGTACATGTCCAGGCCCGTATCCAGTCGGATTTTATCTCTTTCTACTACTACAAAAGATAAATCTAGGTGCATTTTAAACCATAAAACATATTAAAACTTATTCCGTTTCCATTTTTTGGTGCGCGCAAATGAGGCATGTTGTGGCAAAATGGCTAAGTTGTAGCAAACATTAAAATTCAAGTTATTGGTATTTTCAAATACCCGAGTATGTGATCTTTAAAATGAGGAGTCATTCATTCAAATTGGACATTTCAAACCAAAGTTATTGGAAAGTGAAAGTACAGTACTCTTAGAGTCAAGATAAACAGGATTTTGAGTAATTACCTTTCAAAGGTATTTGTGCATATATTGTTTAATATAATGATCTATGAAAAATAAAAACCGAAAGGTCCACTGATTAATCTCAGATAAGAAAGTATAATATATACTCCAAGTATTGAAATACACGATGGCGTGTATTTCAATACTTGGAGTATGTATTATACTTTCTTATGAAAAATAACGTTAAATAAACAATTTGTTAACCCTTACGCTGCCAGCTCTTTTCTTATTTAGTCAACCAGAGCGCCAGCTGATAACATTACCTCTAATCCCCTGTGCCAGCTAATTATTTAACAAGGTCACCGTAATGCTTATATTTGATAGTGTATATTATTTGCTCAATAATTCATAAACTATTCAGATCATGAAAATATAAATCTAAAAACAATTAATCAGCATTAGTTGGTTTGTACATATATGCTTTTATTTCTGCATTTTATGTTTAAACAAGCAGAAGTAAACAAAGAATAGGTTGATGGGATTGGTGTTTCTGAATGACCTTACAAAATTACTTCCGGAATAGTTTCGTTACACGGTATTCGACATGAGCTAAAATTTGCTCGAACGGTGGACCACCCGCTGTGTGCTCGGCGCGATTAACCGGTGAATTCACCGGAATATGGTTTGCGTTTTTCGCTCGAACGGGCCCTTTGATAGTGTATATTATTTGCTCAATAATTCAAAAACTATTCAGATCATGAAAATATAAATAAAAAACAATTAATCAGCATTAGTTGGTTTGTACATATATGCTTTTTTTTCTGCATTTTATTTATTATTTAGTGAATAAATGATAGGATAATTTTGTCGAGGCCTATCACAAATAGTATATTGGGCCTAGGC